AAAAAAAAAGGCCCCGCCACGACAACAAAAGGGGGGGTACGCTCTCCGTTAAGTGAAGGCAGAGCCCAAAATGAAGCTCCGTCCTGCCTCGGCCCTCCGGGAGGCAGAAGGAGACGCGTCGCGTCACGGTGTATTTCGACCTCCAGGATGAGAGGGAGGCAGCGGGGTTAAATGAGGCTAACGAGCAGAGGTTAAACGCAGCTAAATGTAGTTTACCACCTCCTAATTTGGGTGAGTTTCCTCTCTTCTCGAATGAGGTAAACAGGTCAGTTTGGGCGAGCTTCCTCACTTCTCGAATAAGGTAAACGGGTGAGTTTTCCTGTTTTTCCACCCGTGGCCGAGCGGCCGGGAAGCATCCAGCTTTCTTCTTGGTCCACAGGCAGCCCCCACTGCCATCTCCAGGCCGTCCAGCCCCCAGCCCTCGTTTCCTACAGCAAAACTTTCTTGTTCTCCTCACATTCCCGGTTCTCCTCCTCATACCGGCTCCAAACCACGTTTCCTAAGCCCTGCCGCGTTGCCCTCTGGCTCGCTCGCACTGCCCCGGCCTGCTCGGCTGGCGGCCAAGCGGTGCTGCCTGCCCTGGGGACGGCCAGGTACGGGCCACAACGTCCCACCCTCCCTTCCCGTGCTCAGGGCACCTGGCTGGGTCTGTCTTGCTCTTCCACGTGGCTGCTGGTCTTCGTGGACCGAGCACAAATCTGGTGTATTTGAGATTAGCGTGGCCTGCCATGTCAAGCCTCTCGACAGCTGAAACTGGACAACAAACCCAAAGGAGAAGGTAGTGTATAAATCAGATTCTCCTAGGAAACCAAGCTAAACATCAGGGACAACAGCAGAGCAAGTACTCTCTGCCCGTGCATTCTCTGTCTCTGGGATTTTTTTTTTGTGTTGTTATTTTTGGATTTTGGCAAGGCATTAAGGTTTAGACACGATGCTTATGTGGTATGTACTAACCAGTGGGTTACCAACCCCAGATGTTCACTGCGACTACTAAAAAAAACTACAGAACTCGAGCTCTTGCTGTTGGATGAGGCGGGAGGAGACTTCAATCTGCAGGTAGTGGTGGAAGCGCTCGGAGATGAGTATGCAGGCACTGGCACTCGGACCAAAGGTCCACCTGGCCTGCAGGCAGTCTGTGGTGCTCAAGGGAGGCTCCAGGTTCTTCAGGTCCGTGGACTCCATTCCTGAGAGTGGCCAATAAAGGGAAGGACTGCTCCTCCACTTCCTTTGTGGGCAAGGACAAATGCTGCTGCTCCTGCCTGGCGGGACAAATGGGAAAGGCAACGTACACAGCTCTGTAGGATGCCGTAGGGAGAGGCCATCACGCTATTGCTCCCAATCTCAGTCTCTCCTATTTACCACCGGGACAGGACTTTGCCCCTCCCAGAGGGATCCTAGCCTCTAGTATCTTCTACCATTTGCTTTTGAGACTCTCGGGGATCATTATAGCAGTTTCAGCCTGCTCTTGCCCCTGGCACTGCACTTTGCAGCCCTGGAGCCACCTCTCACCCATCTTCAAGAAAGCCTTTATTTTCTTTCTCTCTCGTATCTCAGATCAACCCCTTCCTTAATGACCTTGGATGGCTCCCTGTGCTCCAGTACTATGTCCTCTCTGGGTCCTCCCCTGATGTGGCTACACACACAGGTGGGTTGCAATAGCCAAGCACTTCTGTTAGGAATGGAGTATGGCAAAAGCAAGTAATGGGCCCACTACCCAGCCTTCCACTCAGGCTCCTTGTCCACAACATCAGAGGAAGCCAAAAGGTGTGTTTCCTGAGAAGGTCCAGCAGGTAGAGCTGGCTGTGGGTAGCCATGGGGCGGTGCAACCAGTATAACTCCCATCCTGGAGTTCCTAATGGAGAAGATCTCAGGAATGGCCCTGTCCACTCCTGTGCTGTAGGTCTGCTCGTCAGCACAAAGGTATGGACTGCCACAGTAGTCCATGAGAGGCACTTCAGTGTTTGGAGGAGAAAACTTTCTTAGCAAGCGTCAAGGTTTTTATTCTGCCCTGTAGCCTGGGGGAAGACAACGCTCTGCCGATGGGTTGCAATATGGGAGCCAATTTTTTCTTGGAGCCTCTTTCCACCTACCTCTTCCAAACCCATACAAACACCTAGCATAATAACCTGTGGCTCTGGGTGCTAAGCAAGTCATGGTGCCTGGGCTGCTTCTTGAGGGGCTTCTCTTTGACCCTAGCTTGGCTGCTAAAGCTCTAGCGTTACTTGCTGAGCTGCAAGTAACATTCCCTTCAAGATGTGATGCTCAGTGGGTAATCCCTGATGCCCATGAGGAGATGTGATTCCCTACGTGTTGTTCACCCCTCCATGAAGGGCAAAACCAACCCTGGCATTATGGAGAGGCAGTGTGCTGCTGGCATTCACAGTGGCGTGGCACGTCTCCAACCTGACAGTCAGACAGGCACTAGGATGACCACCTGAAGAGCAATTGGGAATCCATATGTTTGGTCAGCCCTCTGAATCCTTCAGCCCCTGTTCACTGAGGGTGCTGCTCTCTGCAGAAGACTTGTGTGAAGGGGCAGAAGAGGGGAAAAAGCACAGAAAATGGGACAGAAAGCTTCTACAACCCCCTTCCCACTCCTGGGACGGCACACAAGTATTCCCCCTCCCCCTTTCCTCCCACCTGACACAAGTGGAGCAGCTAAATCTGCATGTTTAAATTCCAGAGGTTGCAGACTGACTCCCACCTGTGCTACAGACTCTCCTACTCTGGATG